GTCATATCCAAACAATGAACGAATGTCCCAGCATGCAGCATTACATTTTCTGTGAAGTTTGAAAGATGACAGGGTGTATTTTCTGTTTCTAAGTTACGGCATAAGTTAAGAATTTAAACAGCTAGCTGCGCAATTCATTTTCCTAAGAACAGTGAATGTAACCGCCGCTCGTCAGGAAATTAGCCCGATTACTGAACTTTCGAGGACAGGAAAAGATTATTGAAACGTATAACCAATCAATTTCCAGCGACATTTTTACCAAAATATCGGCTTTCCTTCAAAATACCTGAACGACTGACAAACTATCAGATAAAGTCCAGTAATGGATCGTGAGTACCTGAGTTTTTCGATTATTAAACAAAACACGAAGACTTTTGGAACCAATTGCTTACAAAGCGTTTTTGACTTGAAATGGTAACAGGGGTCAGGCAAATCAGAAACGAAAAAAAGTTCGAAATGAAGATTTTATCTTGAAGCGCAGGATCAAGGTCGGTTGGTAGCAGTACTAAGCGAAAACGAGATAAGGGAAGGATTGTCACGACTAAGAAACCATGAGTTTTGACACATAAAATTTTCTGTAGTTTTGTTATATTCTCTGGACAAATGAATCATCATTTGGATTTTGTGCAACGCGCATTTACATTGAATGATTTGTATATTTGCTTGTAATGGGCAGTGAATAGGCCACAAAAGTTTGATGATAATGCAGAACTACCAGTTTTATGAGGCACAGAGAACTTAAAGTCGATTACACTAGTAGCAACACAAAATAAACTGAACAAAAGTGAAACTCACCAGAGCAGACTGCTTACCACCCCTTCCAAAAAGAGCGCCAGCTTGTGTCGAAGAAGTCCAATTAACGTTTGCATAGTTGAGCATTACATATGTGCGAATTTCGTCTGTAGCGAGGATCATCTGATAAGTATTTTGCTGCAAACGAGGTTTTCAGAACGTCGGTACGTAAGCCAAATTAATGAACGCTCATACCCATTTTTTAATTGTGTCGTACATGTTGAGTTCTGTTACTTTCGGCATTCCCCCGTACCCCATGCGTTCCCATGTAACTATCAGAGCATAATCCGCTTTAAATCCTCGCGCCCCTACCATTCCACGACGTATATCCCTAAGACAGTTTTAACTGCAGCTTAGGAAGCAAAATAAATCTGTAATCTCTCTTACTCTGTGATTGAATCTAACAGTTCAGGATCTTCCACTCTTCCAAAAGCCGTTTTCAGTGCTTGACCGCCATAGGTTCGAACCGGTATTCGAACACTGTTTAATTCCGGGGGCAATATCGGATTGCTTGCAAACTGAACAAACTTTTTCTCAGCGGATCCAAAATCTTCTCCAAATGGGTTTATCATGTTGATTGGTCTCAAACAAGAATCAGTCAGTACAAGCAAGAAGTGAATTGCTTTACCTGGAGACAACCCTGTACCACACGTGACTAATACGAGTGTCGCCGACATGTACGAAAGATTGCTCACTCATAAACGCTGCGATCAAAGTGGGATCAGGCTGTTCAGGCCATCGCGTGTTTGGCATCGTATAGGGTGGTTGTATATACCGAGGATATGAAAATGCTACAAAGCCTTCTGGGAATATCTGTAACGAAGTTCAGTATCAAGAAATTTAACGACAGTAATGAAATGAAAATCTCACGAAGCTATAATTGAAGCGGAATCCGTAGAATGGAAGAAAGAAGTCCAGATCAATCTGCAAATCACGCCAAGGCCTCCACATGATGTCAATGTCGTAATGTTTTTCTCCAAACTGGTATAAATGCCACCATCCTGAAACATACCTGCTATGAAACAAAACGTATGTTTTCAAAAGTGAGTTCTCTTTGCAGAAAATTTCCCAATCAAACTGACTTTTAAAAAAAAGATTCTTCAAATATCAATTTTAATCATCTCATAACACAGCTATGTGCCAGTTTCTGTTCTGTTTTGTCTGGTAAGAATCCTTTGCGCATCCATTATCAAATGATGCATAGCGCGGAGTTGATATGTCGCTTCTGTATATTAGCGAATGTTTTGTTATTTATGTTATTTTGTATCACTTTATTACTCAATCATGATATAATCTTTCGGTAAGACACAACTGGGAAGACAACGCATAAAATGATCTTTAATTAGGGACATCTGACGTTTCGGACCAAGCTGGTCTGTTACAGAGTACAAAGAAGTACTTCTTTGGTCCGACCTCTTGTTACGAATAATTATTCGCAACAAGCCGCAAGGTAGACAAGAGTAGATTCAAATACAGAAAAGGGCGAGAAACAGAAAAGTTCTTATGCACAACTCAAAATAAAATTACTGTGATTCGTAACAGCAAATAAACTGTAGGCGTCTAATATGGGATTCACAACTCGCCCACGGATTATGCTCAATTTTCTCAAAATCACAGGTGCAACCGAGTTTATCATGATGTCAATAATTTACATATTGTCAGATTTACTTTTTCAAGTCGCCTGTTTCATAGTATGGGATCTGAGCGCAGACGTTGGGACGTTTCCGCTCATCGTTATTTTCTACCAGTACCCGCAATATCACTATCAACCTTTTTCATATATGAAGCTTTCAGCTTCTAAGCTTTGTAAAAACAGTATATCTTCCTCGTCTTCTGTGTTCATGTTTCTTAGCAAAAAGAATTTTTTATGTAAATTGCATTCTTTCACTTAATCACAGTGAGCTTTGCAACTTTCCGCTTAGTTAACATCATATGACCTTAATGTGTTGTTTACAGTAATTAGAAAAAAGGTAGAAAAAATGGTAAAAGTTGAGCATTTGCTAGGACTCCCAATGTTCTTGTTCTTGAAGTTGTTAATGCTGCATTGTTGTCATTCCAGTAAATGGCTTGACGGAACATTCCACATGTGTCACCGTGACAGGTGCGGTTTTCTCGGCCATACGTACGCCCTGACCTTTGCTGACCGGGTGTCGCGTGCGCGCGTGCGCATTATGCTTCTGTCAACAAGTGAGTGTTGCTGGCTGTGAGAACTGGACGAATTTCCTGTGGTCTGTCGGGCTCAGAAAGCGACGTTTTTCATAACATCCGCACAAAAGAAGCAGCGGTAACTAATTAACCTGTTTCCGATCACGCTAGGGCGATTGCATCTCATGATATCACGTCCTCGGTCGACCGATCGATCAGGCGAGGTAATTTTCCAACGTCACGTGATTCCATGAGGTTTGGCAGTAAACAAATGCCGGTTGATGCATTAGAAACAGTTTGATCGTGGAGAAGGTGAAAAAGGCATGGAATGACCTTTATGCACAACACAGCGACCGCCTCCAAAAGTAAGACTGGTTATCACAGTTGAATGAATCTCACTTAAGTAGGGGTAGAAGCTATGTGTTCAGGCGATAGACCAAAAAACAGACAACTATCCCCGCTGCTGTCTCATATCAAGAATTCATCAAGAATCTGAAACAAGTCACAAACGTTGCGCTTATAGCTGTTGTGCTCCAGTTGCGAACTGCAATGGATACACAACATAGTTAATCAACCGGCGCGATCACCAACGTCTTTTCAACAGCGCTGACCTTCTGTCTTTCCTAGATGAAAGGGTAATAACAATAAAGATGTATATTTTTCAACAATCTTAAGGTGAATGCAGTTCTACATCGAATCAATTCCACAAGCAGACGAAGACGTCTCTATGCAATATTTATACAAAGCATAAAAACAAACCCCTCTG